GGGGGTGGGGCACCCCAGCGGCGGGGGTCCGGGGGTCGAACCCCTACCCCGGCTTTGCCCCCGGGGCCCCCCGCCTGACAACCCTGGTTGCAGGTATTTGGTTTAACAACAAATTTTGACGAGTTTTCGACTAAAAAACTCGGTTTCAATTTCGTTCAAAAAATAAAAAATGTCCATTTTGACGAAATTGTCATTATAATTATAACAATAATGAATGGCCGAACCAGAATCAATATCCAAGTCCCTCTCCTACCGCAGACACCACATGAGGTCCACCATAGCCATGACGCGCTACTATGGCGGACTACTTGCCCCGGCGTGTCGAAAATTACTCAAAGCAACTATGGATGCTTCCACTCAGGCCGTCATGCCTGACTTTGCCTTGAAGTTTCTTAATGTCGCTCTAATTCCCCTTTTTCTCGCCAACCAATCTCCTCCTCCTTTTCTCCTCCCCTTGTTATTGAAACAATTTATAATAATAATAATGATGAATGGTTGAACCAGAATCGATATCTGAATCCCTCGCCTACTGCAGGCAACATACGAGGTCCACCATAGCCATGGCGCGCTACTTTGGCGGACTACTAGGGCCTTGCCCTGACATGCCAAAGATTACTCAAAGCAACTATGACTACTTCCACTTAGGCCGCCATGCCTGACTCTGCCTCGAAGCTTCTCAGGCTTAATGTCACTCTACCCCAACGAGGGTCTTCCAAATGCAGCGCTCACCAAGGTGATGAAGATGGCGTCCACCATAGTCAAGTAAGTACCCATGGCGTTCTCCTCTCTAATTTCCTTCTTCCTCCTCCTCCAGCCCGAGCTCCTCCACGTAGCCAAGGTAGAGAATTCGACGCTCCTCTTTCCCAGCGTTGAACTCAGCAGCGCTCCAGCATCGAGACAAGCTTGAACGCAACAAACTTCTCCTGGAGATATAGCGGCCTAGTACTTGCCTCTTGGGCGGTGACTTCCAGGCCACGCGGCCTCCAATCAACCGGTACCTTGTTCCTTTCGGAGGGAAACATCACTGCAGACTTTGATATTGCCTATACAGGCCATAGACTCAGACTACATGGACAGGTACCCGCCTGGACCTAGCCTATAACTATCGGGCCTCTAAAAAAAAAAAGAAAAAAAAAAGTCAACTTTAGTATTCTTTCGCGCGGCCCCGAGTACCTGGCACATCCACTGCTACTTGGTGTGGTACCAGCCTCTCTGCTACTAGAGTGTTTTTCCCTGGTCTATGTGTCAAGGACCTACTCCCGCCATTTGAGTGTTTTCCCTGCTACAACCCACAAAGTCACGACCACAGGTAAGTACCGGCCCTTCAGGCCCCCCGAACGAATAAGTATAATTGTGGGATACACAGACACTCAACCGACAAGCCCTCAGACAGACACATTGACCAGCGAGCACGCGCACACACAGACTTACAAAACTCGGAAACAAGCTAGGAACTCGGCAAGGTATACATTCCATTGACAAAACTCATAAATCGGTTGTGTG